TATATTTTTAACAAGCATCCCTACTTGAGGAATGCTTGAGTCTGAGGAAGATGGCCCAGTGACTACACTTTGAGCTGTACTGCTCTAAAGCCTGTTCCAATACTGCTACAAAGATCTGTGCACTTTCAAATTCCTCCCAAGAAAAATGATATTCATCAAGTGCCAACATTCAAAAGGAGCACACTGCTGTTGAAAAGACACATTTGTTTGAAACCCTAATAGGAGCAAGTATTGTTTCTATTATTCTTCCTGCATAAATATGACATTTGTGTTTCATTTCACATTAAATGGGATTTTATAAAATGGCCTGGGGCAAGTGGCGGGGGGATGAGGGGGTTGCTAAATACAGCTTATGATGCTGCTTCCATCTGAAAATAACTTTAAATTTCCACAGAGCTATCTTAAAGAACCATGAAACAGAACCAGTTTGCAACTGGAGAATTTCATGTATCATTCCAAATGAGAAAATTTAATTATGGATGGTTTTAAGTGATACCAAGGAATTACTGTTATTTTTTTGTATGGAATAATGGCATTTTGGATATGTAAGAAAGTGTGTTTTTCAGAGACGCATAAAAAACCAGGTAGGAATGCAGTGATAGGATGTCCAGGACTGACTTTACAATACTTCAACAGAGTCAATAAAAACGTCAATGAGGAAAACAGATGAAATAAATAAGGCAAAATCTTGATAATTGCTGAATCTGGAACATGGGAATATGGGGGCATAATTTATTTCTTTTTACCTCTGTATATACTAGAGAAATGAGTAAAAGCAAATTTGGTTAATGTAGCGACCACGTAAGATTCCCACTGGACCCACAGACAGATTCAGCACTATACAAACTGGAATCATTGCTGACATCACAAAGGAATGACATCAGAGGCTCTTTAATCTGGTGACAGAGATGAGCTTCTCCTTTGATAGTCCCTGACATGCGAGAAGAAAATGAACTCAAAGGCAAAGCATATGGAACAGTAATTTCTGAATTATTTGGATGATATTTTCTATTTTTCTGAGATACACAAGAAGGCTCAATTCAATACAGAATAGATCAGAAACAGTGAGGTCAGGGGCAAAGCACACTCAGACGTGATATTCCTTCACATCTCCCTTTATCTAAAGTGTAGACGGAGGGGCAAGTCATTTCTGCTTTTTGTATGTCTCAAAAAAAATCTTAAAATGTGGATGCAGACCTACTTCCTGTGACTGTGGACCACACGTTACACACAAAAGCTGGTCATTAACGGTACTCAAAAATCTTATTTGGTGACTAACCCATTACTTGATAGATTTTTCATATATTAATTGTAGAGAAAAGATGGAGAAGAAAGCTAGAGGGAAAAAAGCAAAAAAAGGCAAAGGGACAGTTATACTTGAGGAAGGAAAAAAAAAGGAATACAGATCCTTAGAGGAGTATTAATAAGCAGCATTGTCCCGCTGCCTCTTGCATCACAGGCTGAATTATAACTAACGACAATCATAGGACTTTATTACTTGTGTTACTCTTACGGTTCTCGATGTCTTGGAAATTTTGCCTTCCTAAAAACAGACTGTCCTAAAGCCTCAAGAAATCCAGATTTCAGGTCCTGACTATGCCATTATCAGCCACAGGGCATTTCGTAGCCTCAATTTACACATACGTAAAAGAAGAGCATTCACTACATGATCTCAAAGATCTCTCCCAGCTCAAAAATTCCATGACACATGGTATTTTATAGGTGTCTTTTTATCTTTAAAATCTTTAGATGCTTTATTTTGAATTTGTTATACTATATAGTCCTGGGAAGCAATTAACCAGAGCTTCTACAGAAGCTGATTCCAAGCCCAAAAATCACGTGGGGGTAGATAAACTCAAGAGAAGAACTGATTCTTCTGCAAGGACTGAAGATCTCTTCCCCTTTCTTCAAATAATAAGTGCTAAGGGATGATTTCCTGGTAAATTTCAGTAAGAAATAGAAAAAAAGCAAAGGAGATATCTAAAATCACAAGTCACTTTTAATATAAAATTTTAATTTTAAGTAAAACTCTTATGGATCATGTGTACAATGGAAGTTTAAATCTGCTTTATTGGTAAACACACACAAAAAAATATGCCTAGGAAATATATCTGGACAGTATTATAAAAAAAAAGGGGGGAGAGGCTTTCAAAGAATCCATACTCTATCTCATCCTGGCTCTTACTTTACAATAAAAATACTGAAAGCCTAGAGTATTGTAAACTTTGAGACATTTTATTTGCAAAAAGAGATAAAGCATATCCTATTTGTGGCTTCAATGTACTTTTCCATTCATGCATTATGTAGGCATCTTAAATTGTGAAAAAAAAAATTTATGGCCTGTAAAATGATTTTTGACTGTGGTTTTGAAAAGCCACATTCAATTTAACATTTCTAGTCTGGATGCTTTCAAACTTTCTGGTCATTTATTTGTAAATAAGAAGCGCAATTCTTCACTCTATGGGGAGACAAAAATGGCTATAATGATTGAAACGGCTAAACAAAACAAATGAAAAGTGAGAATATAAAGAAAAGAGACATTGGGGCTCCTGTGATGTTTCAACCATAAATAATAATCAGCAGAAACCTACCATATACAGTTATTTACATCGGCTCAACTGAAGGTCAGAAATAACTGGGCCAGAAATACCATCTCATAAAGGAGTGAATTGTGTCACAAAGATACTGAGTTTGGGAAATTACTGACATAGGGTCCTCTGTTCCCGAAACTCACTCATTCCAAAGAATTGAGCATATTCAAAGGAATAAAAACAAAGGATCAGTTCCAAACGCACTCTTCCTCTTCCCCAACTTTGGGACATCCTTCTCTTCATAGAGACCCCAACCCTTGGGGCCAAGGAAGAGACCAGCAGGAAGGGCCCTTCGCCAGGAGTCGGGCCGCAACGCTCTGTGCCTGAAACAGCGCAGCGGTCTGCGGGTGCACTGCTTTCTGAGAAGGTCACTGTGGAAACAGGACAGAGGCCGGAGCAGGAAACCCGCAGGAGTCAGTCACCACACAGCACCCTTTTCCCATTTTACCAATTTGCCAAACCTAAAGAAATGTTATCATTCCCCAGATCAGCCATCTTACTCTAGGATGCTGACTACCCATCCTTAGGACACACCCTGATGTGACAGGACACACCCAGCCACTCCCTTTCTCTTTCTCTCCTTCTATTAACATAAGCACAAAACACTTATTCTCTTTATTCAAAACAAACACCGCCCTGTGGACACATCTCCTAGACCCAGATATTCCCCCACCCCACCCCGTGTTCATTGATGAAATTAAAGAAAAAGTAAACCCACACCTCTCTCCCTCTACTCCCCTTCCTCTGTTCAGTCCTGACCACTAATCCCAGCCCAGAACAAGGCCCACCCTGGTAAACCCCTCCTTGGGTGGCATTTTTGCTTAGCTCAAGGCCTCAGAGCCTAGGATAGTGCAACGAACATAGCAGGCCCTCCATAAATAGAGAAATCATCTATTAAATTCTCCAGATGACTATTACTTCATTATCAAAACATTTCCTTTTCCCATTCTGGATCACAGGAACCATCCAAGATCAATTTTTTTCCACCACCGGGACACACAAGCAAATCTATCATCCACACTTCCATCTCATATCCTAACCCCAAATTCAAGCTCTTCAAAAGCCCAGACATTTCCGCAGGGCTATTTTCTTGGGCTCTGACTTTAAACCTCATCCGGATAATAAAGCTCTGGAGAGAGTCTCCTTGTTCACCTCCCACCCACAGTCACAGTCCTGCCCACTTAAGGACTTGCCTCCCCCATCAAAGGCTAATTCAGAACATACCTCTGCTCCAGGAACACTACTCCCACTTTCTCCAATCCTTATCCAAAAGGCACATGCACCAATTAAATTTCAACACCTCCCAAGCCAAAAAAAAAAAAAAGGTGTATATGCCTTGCTGGACTGGATTTCCATCACAACACAACTTTCCATGTAATGCTTCCCTAATGCCTCTATTATTGCTGCATGTTATCAAGAAGTCATCCATTTCCTAGGGTATGTCCTTTACTCCTAAAACTATAAACCCACATTACCCGGAACCCATCACAGGTAGTAAAAGTTGAGAAAAAAGGAAAGGGAACAACAGATGAGAGGACATGATCAACTGTCTTCTCTCTGTTCATTGTCCCTCCCCTCACTACAAGCAGTTGTTTAAATTTATCGCTTCTCCCCTTGCAAGAATGAGGTACACATTGCCTAATGAAGCCTATCTTTGTGTTGCTGATTCAAACTTGGGAGGAAAATATTAAGAAAAGATGGGATTATCCTAAAATACACTGACTTTTTTTCTCCTCACAAAATGTATAATCATTGATGGATCTCCTCATAGTTACTTGGTTCTTGGACCCTAATTTGCTTGGCAGTCCCGAACTGGAAACGTGAAAAGAAAGGAAAGCATAAAAATTAAGTCCATCTTCTGATCACCACTTACACAGGAACTGCCTCCTGTAGCCAGCAGTCTCCAAATTCAGGAATTCCCTGATGACGAAGAGATGTTGAGTCCTAAACTCCAATTACCTTTTGCCGCAGATCCACTGTATCACTTTAATAAATGAGGCTGGCTTAGGTTGAAAATTTCAGAGAATAAAGGTGTTACAGAAACCAGCCAATCCCCTTCTCACCTCAATACCACTGCACCCCCAATTTCTAACCTAAGATTGATAATCTATTATCACATAGAACTCTCCCAACTATTCTGAATAATAATAGTACCCAGATACTGTACTTTACATATATGCTTTCATTTAAAGGGTCCCAAAAGACTGATAGCTAGGTTTTAACATTCCCATTATACAGCTGTGAAAACCAAGGGCCCCAAAGGAAATAATGTCAAAGAAATGTCAGTCAACAGAGTTATTTAAAATAGGCATGCTAATTCTGTTAAGATTAAGTTACTGAATATCTTAAAGACTACATGGATTTAGAACTCTTTAAGATTTTTTAATCAGAAAATGTTTAAATGCATACCTGCTTTTTCCTTGAATTTGCTTTGGGAAAAAGGCCTGCTGATAACACAGATGTAAACGGAGAACAGCATAGCTCAGGAAAAGGGTTTGGAATAGATGGCATTTCCAGAACATCAAGATCTTTCTCTTTTCTCCTACACCAAGAGAACATAGGATGTAATTTACATAAAACAGAATGTAAAATGTAATTGCTGTCAGGATTAAAAAGGGAAGGCCAAGATGTAGCATGCTGTGACAACACTAATACTATATAAAGTATGCAGCAAAGTTCTGTGATGTACTTTCTGTGGGTAAAATAAAATGTTGATATAAATCAATCTTTTATAGTATTCTTTTCTAGGTGTTTTTTTTCTTTGATTTTTTTGTTTGTTTGGTTGGTTGGTTTTTGCCTTTAAAAAAGTAATCACCAGGCATGGAAACGCCCTTTCTAGCACTTTTGATAATTTTCCTGAAGTTGAAATAGAGACTATCTAATAATTGATGCAAACATCATTTGGAGGAGTTAGACATTGTTCTGCATCCATTAAACTGATAAAGTCTATAAACATTTAGGGAATTCATCCCTCTGCTATTTTACTAATCACTTTTGGAAGTTATGGTTTATTAATTATAGCTGTGGTTCATCTCACTTCAAATTTCATTCACAATGTTGCCCACACACAGTCTGTTGACTTTTCAAGTGCTTATAGATACTAAGCTGCAAGGCAGTGCTGAAGAGGTAAGTGAAGAGAACTGGCTGGTGTAAATGTACTCTAGTCCACTGCAGAATAATTTTAACTTCAATGAAGTTGAAGCACTTTGAAAAATCTGAAGGAAAAAAAAGTATCATTTAAGTCTATGAATATAGATTTGTGTATTGTTGCAACCTTTCTCTTTGCTGAAGTCTGTGCAAAATTATGAACTCTAAAGGCACTTAGTGCTGAATGCTATGGAGACTGAGAAACCTTTTAAAGCCTCTATTCTTTTCCTGCTGAACTGCAAGACTGCTCAAATGTCATCCGTTCTTTGCTTCTGCCGGGTCGCTGGAACACTCTATGTGGGAGGTGAACTCATTTACGCTTTGGTTTTTTAAAAACATAAAATAGAAAGAGTTGTTATTATTATTACTTTAATGCAGGCCAGGAATAAAGAGGAAAGGGGGGTGATCAGCCTGGGGTTTGGCCTCCTAGTTCACACCGATGGGCGTGAAAGGCGAGAGAGACCTGGAGCTCTCAATGAAACGGTGATGCTATTTATAAGACGCTGGGAGATCGCAATGTCCTGCCGACCCGGCAGCAGCCCGCTCAGAGGGAATTGTCTTCGGAGACTTTCACAAACTTGGCCCGGCTCTGGGCACATGCTCCCCCCTAGGCCCGCCTCCTCCCCCCCTCGCCGGCTGCCCGCCCAGGACACTCCCCCGCGCCCTCCGAGCCTGCCTACCTGCGTGCAGCACCGCCGCGGGTCGCGTCCGCCGGGGGCAGGAGCGCCCGCGCGTGCAGCCAGGGGGCCGGCGCCAGGTCGCGGGCGTCGCCCCTGCCCCGGGCCGCGCCGCACACCTGGGCGGCCAGCGGCGGGTCCCGGGCGGCCGCCCTGCCCGCGGCGCTCTGCCCATCCTGCAGGGAAGTGGCCATGGGCGCCCCGGGAGCGCCGGCGCGGGGGGAGAAGGAGGGCGGGCGGCGGGGGCCGGGGGCCCGCTCGGCGGCCCGGGCGCGCGGCAGGTGCGGTGGCCTCGCTGCCGGCGCTCCGGGCCCGGGCGGCGGAGACGCGCGGCGGAGCAGGCGGCGAGGCGGCGGGGGAGGGGCGGGGCGGGCGGGGAGGGAGGGGAGAGGGGAGGAGCGGCCGGCGGGCGGGCGGGCGCGGCGCGGAGGGGGCGGGGAGCGCGCCGGGGCCTCGGCTGCGGGCGCCCGAGGCCGTGCGGCCGCCTCCCCAGGTGGGCACCCGGCGCGAGGCTGAGCCCGAGGTCAGGGCGGCCCGCGACGCCGGAGGCGGGTCCGCTGTGCGCTGCGCGGCCGCGCGGGGCGCCCGGCGGGCGGGCGTCAGGGCAGCCTGGCCTCCGCACCCTTCCATTCATCCTAAGCTGGGGATCCCCTGAGCTGCGGCCGGGCCGCCATGACAGGCCCACCGAGCCGGGAGGCCGGGGGCCCGGGCGCCAGGTGTGCCCCAGACTCGGCCCGCGCGCCCCGTCTTCCCTCCGTTCCTCAGCCAGCGCCGGGCGCGGGAGAGGGAAAGGGTGGGTGGGCGAGCAGGGCGTGCAATGCACTCCTGAGATCCCTGAGGATTCCTGGGCATGAGTAAACCTGAAGGGGTCTTGAGAATTGGGAAAAACTATTAATTTTATTTTAGTAACATCAGCTCTCACTCCCCACTCTGCCTTGTCCTATTCCACCCCTACAATAGCCTCCTAAATTAGGTATTTATCCCATTTTACAGGTAAGGAAATTGGCGCTTAAAGCCATAGAGTACTTTCTGCAACATAGCACAGGTAATTGGTGCAGTTAAGCTTCCAACCCAGAAGATTCCCTCAAAAACCCAGACTACTTGAAACGATGCAACAGTCCCCTCGTAGCCGTCTTGCTTTCCACCAGTTACGTGATCCAGAGTCAACCAAGGTCTGGAAGCAGACGATCCCCCCTCTGGGTATCAGTATCAGGGCAGAAGTAGCCTAACACTGTGCCTCCAGCCGTTCACCTGGCTTCATCTCATCAGGAGGCATTTTATCATCTCGCATCATCACGAGAAGGGTGGGTGCACAACAGTAAGGTATTTTTGAGAGAAAGCCAGACCACATTCACGTAACTTCTACTGCACTAATCCTTATAATTGTTCTGTATTGTTATTGTTCTTAATCTCTTATTGTGCATAATTTAGAAATTAAACTTTATCATATGTATATGTAGAAATTGTGTATATCTTTAAATATATCAAATGTTTTTACATATCTTATATAAAACATTACATATATTTTTATATATATAAACATTAAATATATATAGGGTTCAGTACTATCCAGAAGCTTCAGGCATCCACTGGGGGTCTTGGCCTGTATCCTCCATAGATAAGGGGGCACTGCTGTCATTCCATTATGCTCAGCCTCTGAGAAGCAGCAACTCTACTCAGAAATCCTAGGTGATACTCGGTTCCAGCTCTCCCCCTGCATGTCCCCATCCCAGTGCACTGCTGAGGACTTCCAAATGTTTTACACGCTCCATGTTCTTTGACCAAATTAGGTAACATCTATCCCTGGCATCTGTTTCAGCAGGTTTCCTTAACCTCCACAACCTCTGCCTGGGGAAAGGAAAACACTGCCTCCTGAAGAAACCAGCAAAGCCCCCTCCTGCATGTCCATGCTCACCCCCCACACCCCCACCCTGCAAACGTGAAAACCCCATGGCACCATCCTCTGCTGACGTCTTGGTCAGACAGTGAGCAAACCTGGAGACTCCATGAATGCAGGAAATCTGAAGTCGAAGAGCTCGCGGAATGCATATACTTCACTTGACTGGTGTCAAAATTCAGGCCTAATAAAATCAGTACTGGCCTGGGCCGCACTGTGGGTGTGGTGGCCAGGACCCTTCATACAGTGCAGTGTCCAAGCCAGGACGAAACAGCAGTTCTCCTGAGGAGTAAAATTTGTAATACTAATCGTGGTGACAGCTAGCAGGTACTGAGGTGCGATGGCCTCGCCGCCAGGCAAAACCCTCACTCACACCCAATTCCCTGAATTATGGTCTGGATTCTTTGTGCTGGTAATGAGAGTTTAATGTAAAAGCGCACAGATACCCTGAGGTCATTCCACCTCAGTAAGAGGTATGTATCTGCCGATGGCTTGAACTAAAGACATAAAGAAATTAACTTCATCATCATCATCATCATCTTCCTCAACAACATCGTCCTATTTTCATCCAAAACTCTTGCAGGCAGCCATTTCTCCTCTGAAACTGGTGTAGTTTGAGCATTCTACCAGGAGGGTGAAGCAATGGCTCGGGTTTATTCCCTCCCTACTTCCAATGAATCTCTCTCTCTCTCTCTCTCTCTCTCTCTCTCTCTCTCTCTCTCACACACACACACACACACACACACACACACACACACACACGAGCATGCTGGGATTTTTCTGTTAGAGAAAAAGGACAGGTGGAAAGTATATGTCTTTGGAATCACTGGAAGTACTATTTCCTAACTGTATCCCGCTCCACTTTCCAGCATGTTAACCTCAAGAAAGAGTATTCACTGGTCGGAACAAGATCTCAATTGTATTCCCCTCTCTAGGCATTTTCTCATTTAGTGAAAATCCAGGGAATAATCATTTGCAGGCATTATGCTCTTCCTCTAACCCCCATGGGTAAAAATTATAATACCGGCAGTCAGCAGGGGCAGAAACAAAAAGAACAAGTCTCCGAGTAATGGGAACCTAAATAATTTTGTCTTGTAGACTGGTGTTAAATATTGAATTTACTCCGAGATACCTTGAGGAGCAGCACCAAGAAATATTCGAATTAGCTCATTCACATTTTTTGAATCAAGCCAACCAAAGAACTAGGTTTTGTATCCAAGAGGTTTAGAAAAAAATGATTCTAAATAAAGAACTACACAATGTAAAAGGTGCAGAATACTATCAGTCCTTGTACAGCCTCAGAGAATACAGAGGCTTTCTTTTTTATCAAAAGGGAAGATAAAAGGGGAGATTTTCCTTTCCATCACTGACAAAGATGTCTGAAACAATAAGGCAGATATCTTGGTACCCAAGAGCAGTCCTCCTCCGGGTAGCGCTTGTCGCTTTTGACTTGAGCTTGTAAAACTGCAGAGGGAGCTTGTCTCCTGGCCCCTCACTCACTGTGAGCCTTTTCTGCCCCCTTCCACCTGCCTTTCCACCTCTCCCGGGAGACCCTAGCTTACCTACTCTTCAAGGAAAGCATGTCTCCCTTGCTCTACTCTCTCCCTTTCTCATCAAATCAATTATTGCAAGCCTTTCTATTGGGGAAGATAACATACATAAAACTTTGCAAACAAAATTGCATGATCACAAGGCAATTTTGCTTATCACAATGCAAACACTGATGATGTTAGGTCATGAAATTCATATTGCCAGTCCTCGAAAAGCACCTCCCTCCAACCCAGATTTTCATAGTAATCCACTCATGGTTTAACCGCAAGGATCCATCCCTAAGCACAGCAGGGTAGCTTGCCTGGTTCTGTGTATGTAAATGGAATCATACACTATGACCATTTTGCGCTTGGCTAGGTTCCCTTCAGCATATTTTTTTAACGATATTCTTCCATGCTTGTACAAGTAGCTGTAGTTCTTTAATTCTTTTATTGTATGTAATCATTTATCCATTCTAGTACTGATGAACATCACGGCTATTTCCAGCTTTGGACCATTATTAGTAACACTGCAGTGAGTATTTTGTAGACTTCTCTTGGTGCACACGTGCATGCATTTCTGGATGGTGTATATGCAGGAGGGGCATGGTGAGGTCATGGAAGGCATATGTTCAGCTTTCGTAGAGACTGCCAGTTTATTCAATTAATTGCACCAATTTCACCACCAACAATGCATAAGTTTCCCCAGTTCTTAGCATCCTTGACAATTCGGAGATTATTGGAATTTTCACAACAGACATTCTGGTGTGTATACAGCAGTATCTCATGGTGGAATTTGACTTTTCTGATGTCTAATAAAGATGAGCACATTTTCATGTGTTAATTTACCATTTGGAGAACCTCTTCTGGTAAATGCCAGTTCAAGTCTGCTGTCCTTTTTTATAACAGGTTGTCTATCTTTTTCTTATTCTTTTATAGGAGATCTTATATTTAGTTCCAGCTCTTTGTTAGTTATGTTTTGTAAGTATATTCTCCCATTGTTTGTCTTACATCTTAGACCTCTCAATGGCATCTTTTGATAAACAGAAGTTCTCATCTATGGTGTAGTCAAATTTATCTTTTTATGATTATATTTCCATATCCTGCTTGGAAATTGTCCCTATCTACTCAAGAAATATATTTTGCCTTTAACATTTAAATCTGTGATCCACTCGAAGCTGATTTTTTTTTCCTTACTGTGTGAAGACGTGGAGATTGTTTTATTTTTTTCCCATATAAATAGGTAATTTTCACAGCCTCATTCACTGAAAGGATTATCATTTCCTCACTATTCAGTATTTCTTTGTATTAATCCAATTGTTTATCTATCCACAGGTCTTCTCTGGCTTCTCTCTTCTATTCCATTAGCTTACTTATCAATATTTATGTCAATATCACATTGCCTTAATTACTATGGTTTATTAAAAGTCTTAATATTCAGTACTGCAAGGTATTTCATTTTGTTCTTCAATTTATTAATTTTAGAATTAACTTCACAAATTCTACAAAGACCTGCTGGAATTTTGATTCAATTGAATTAAATCTATAAATCAGTTCAGAGAAAAATAGTATTTTTTAGAAATAACATACCTAATCCATGAAATTTCTGTATCTTTCCATTTGATTATATCTTTAATTTGTTGCAGTAATGGTTTTCTGAATAAATACCTTGCACATATATTATTAGATGTGTTCTTAGATATTTGATATTTTTACACTATTTTTGATACCTTATTTTAAATTTGATTTTCTATCATTTGTTGTGATGACAAAAATAACTGATTTCTCTGTGTTGATCTCTTCAACCATATAATTACTTTCAACAAATTAATTCTAATATTTTAACTGAACACATTTTTA